GGAGGGAGGAGGAAGGAAGGAAGGAGGAAGGGAGGGAGGGAGGGAGGGAGGAAGGGGGGAGGAAGGAAGGGAGGAGGGACAGGCAATGGTGTGGGGCAGGCCCTGGGGAGGGGATGGAGGGGGAGAGAGTGGTGGGGACTAATGGTACTCACTTTGCGTCGTCTCGTTCCTATGTCGCGTCGTTTCGTTCCTATGTCGCGTCGTCGTCATCGTTCCTACGTCGCGTCGTCGTCATCGTTGCATGGTTGTTGTCGTCGCGTCATCGTCTCGTACCCACATCGTGTCGTCGTCGTCGCATTGTTGCCTTGTACCCACTTCGCGTCGTCGTCGTCACGTTGTTGCCTCGTACCCACATCGCGTCATACCCACGTTGCGTTGTCATCGTCGTTTCACCACCTCGTTCCCACGTCGTTTCACTGCCACGTTGCATTGGTGTCACGTTGATGATGCTGGTGGGCGCGTGGTGTGTCGTTCGTGGCTGGCTGGCATGGTGGGCCCTGGTTGATGGCGGCGCCTGTGGATCGGCCACGTTGTTGTCGTGGGCGCTCGTGGATTGTCATGGTGCCGCCTCGCTGGCGGTGGTCGCTTCCGTTCGTTGCTGGTGTGGTCATGGCCGTTGTTGGGTTGTGTGGTGTGGTTGTCGTTGTCGTTGTTGCCAATGTGGGTGGTGGGAGGGAATGGAAGTGGGGGGACGAGGATGGTTGGTGGTGGGTGAAAGGAAAGGGTGTTGCAATTGTTTGGTAATGTTGCCTTTGTTTGGTAACAGAACTAAAATAAACAAACAAAGGACCGGATTCCGTTACATTCCGTTCCTGTGCATTCCGCGGATCATTCCGGTGTCAATTCCGGAATGCCCAAATTCCGCCGGAATGGTAAGGCACTGGAATGATGAAAATGGCAGGCCTCCCTGCCAAATTTCATTCCTCTGGAATCCACCGGAATCCACAGGAATGACCGGATTCCTGCAGGAATTAGGGGGGCACTGATAAGACCTCGCTTTTCATTGCAGGCCAGGATATTTCATTGGTAGCTTTTCATTGCTCTCTAGGATTTTCATTGGCTACTTTTCATTGCAGGCCAGCCTTTCTCATTGACCAATTTTCATTGCTGCTGGTATTTTCATTGATAGCTTTTCATTGCAGGCCAGGATATTTCATTGGATACTTTTCATTGCAGGCCAGCTCTTTTTATTGACTGCTTTTCATTGCTGCTGGTATTTTCATTGGTAGCTTTTCATTGCAGGCCAGGATATTTCATTGGATACTTTTCATTGCAGGCCAGCCCTTTTCATTGGCTGCTGTCAGGTGGGTCATCAGGAGAATGGTCACATGACCAGTTGCCTAAAATGGTTGAAAACAAAAATTGTAGTCCTGCACTGTAGCTTCCTGAATCTGTTTAAATTATGTTGTAAGTGCTTTCATTGTAGAAATATGAGGTAAAATATTTTCTCATTGCCAGCTTTTTTTTTTTTTTTTTGCATTTTTCTCCATGAAAACAAAACCAAACAAGATGATTTCAACACATTTAGAAATCCAAGAGAAGAGGCTACAATTATCATATCGTGGGAAAATT